CGCAAAGGCCGGCTACGAGGCGTGCGCGGACCGTCTAGGGGGCGGGCGCGGGGCCGGCTAGGGACGGCCGTCTAGGAGAACGGGCCGGCTAGGGGGAACGGGCGGCTAGGAACTAGGGCGGAAGCGCTGGTGGGTGAACGGGACCTAACCTACTCATGATACCATGTTAGAATGCTAGAATAACTAGAATTTGAGAGTACAACATAATATAGGCTAGTGTTGTTCCCTCTAAGGCCCTGTTGACACGTGGCTCGTCGTCAATCAAGTTATGTTTTGACGAGCTGTATATTTGAGTGTGGTAATAAACTCTTCCCAGAGAACCTCCGAGACTCAATTCCCGAACGCGTTTCTAACAGTGTAGGCCGCGATTACTTGCTACGGACATATAGTCTGGAGTAATTCTATTTTTGTGCCCGTAATCCCTTGTAGATCGCTGTAAACTCCTTTTTAACTGCGAATATTCGTGTGTCCATGGAAGTAAGGCGTGAGTCCACGAATGTATTGACAGACTCCACGGGAGAAGCAAAAATTTGATGAGATGTCCATGAAAGAATGGCTTGTCCACGAAAGTATGGAAAGTTTCGTGGACAGTCCGTGGCAGTAATTTCCCCTCAATTTTCTAGCCTCTGCCGCAAAGTTCGGTAGTTTGCAAAACGCTCTGCTCCCCGCCCCAGCGCACTATCGCGTAAATTAGAACAGTAATGAAGCTATGTTTCAGCCGGACTTCTAGAACCGAGCCTTCGGTTCGTCTCTAGACCTTGCTACGGACCTTCAGGATCACTCGATACGCTTCCCGAGCCTTCGCATCCTACTACTTAGATTAGCCTGGGGTTCTTATGTCCTGTTTCGTCACTCGTTATTGTCATTCACTCGTTGACTGTTTCGCTATTGCCCTCCGCGCTACGCAGTACAATATGTTCCATTGCCTCACGCACTATCGTGTGACTTCCACCCCACCCACGTCCCCCTTCGTCCCACGCAAGAGTTGAGGGCACTGTAGCTTGCGGAACGATCCAGGAGGAAGCTGTTGGGACTGAGGAAAAGGTTCAGGTCTCAGGTCAGGTGGTCGCAGGACGAACAGGTTGCCGAACAGGCCTCGATGTCCTAGGGGTCACCCTGCAGTTTCCGAGTTTGCCCGGTATCCAACTCGTCCAGGCTGGGTAGCCCTAAATAGTTCGATTGTTCTGCAGGCAAGAGTATCGTCAAGCTTGGAATAAGCCACTCCTGACAATGACAGGGGGAGAATTTCTCAGTAGGGGCACGAACGTTACATTAGATTTTACAGGGCGGGTCTATCCCGTACTCGGAAATTTGCTGTGGGATAATTCTGGCTTGCCTGTCCATGGAAGGGTATCGATATTCTGAACGCGTCAAAAGCAGGAATTGGTGAAAAGTTTACCCTGTTCTCCTTGACACAGCAATGTAAATATCCTGACTAACATAGGCCTGTTGCCGAACCCTGTTGTAGCACCCTCTGCCGCACTGCGGCAATTCCAAACTAGGGAAAGCGCGAGACGATACGCAGGGCAAGGGCGACAGGCGTGGGCGACCTGTTACCGAGAGGAGCGGCACTTGTGAATGTAGCCGCAGCAGACCCGCTTTACCTGCCCAAAGATTTGGGCAGACACAACGAGAGCGTGGTTGGGAGTGGCCAGGGGAGGGGCGAGAGGAAGGATGTTCCCCCAACACCCACCAACCAATCCCCCCCCCCCCCCCGGGCCCCCCGTAACCCCCTCCCCCCCTCTTCTCCTTCCCTCCCCCTAGTTGTAGATAAGGCGCGTGCAAGAGGAGAGTGTCATTGGTTAGCGAAGCTGCGCGCTACCTTAGCGCGAGCTGCGGCGCGCGCGCGCGTGTGTGTGTGTGTGTGTTTGTGTGTGTGTTTGTGTGAGTGTGTGTGTGTGTGGCTCGCTTCAATCGGAAGTTCTGCCATTGTCGCAGTGTACACCTGGAGCTCACTCAAGGCCTAGCGCAATACGTGGCCCAATCAGAAACCACCGCCCATTAGCGCTGACACACGGGCAACGGCCCACTCACGTGGGCCGTGAACAGAGCCAACAGTGCAACGTTATCATGACAGCGGTGACAAACATGCGGCACAAGACGAAAGATGTGCGCCGCAACCGTTTTCGCCACAAAATTCCAGCCGCGCTTGGAATAGAGATCCTGCGAAGTTCCGCGAGCCATTCGTTGAGCTCGCAAAAGTGCGTAGAACTCGCTGGGTTTATTTGTGGCTTGAGCATCGCCGCATGAAACCAAACGCTGACTTGGCAGCGAAATGGAGTTGCGATGCCCCGATGCCAGGGGTCGTTCTCAACATCCGACAGCCAACCCAGGAACATATTCGTAAAACAAATTCCCACAATCCACAGAGCAGTTATTGTTGCGACACGAACCTTCAACTCGTAATGTAAGAAATCTTTAGAACACGCCCCTAACATTTGGAACTAAAATGAGACTCCAAACCCTCGCCACATTTCACTGAATATAATAGGGAGCAAACCAAACCAGAGAAACTTACTCAACATCTCACCTGCCAACCACAACTCTGGTGCTTCACCAGGGAAACTCACTCAAGCTTGAAAGCGTCGAAACTTAACACATGGTAACTAAGTGAACAATGGCTCGCCAAAATATGCCACTCAATCCTACCCCGCAAAACATCAAAATGGTAACCTTTATGGCCGTGCGAAAGGCCCACATGCCCGTGACGATGCCGTGCGAAACCCGTGCGCGTTTTTGTCTACGGGCACCCTGAAAAGTTGTGTTCCTCTGTCAGGCTCAAGGTGTAGGTTAACCGTAACGCGTATGCACCTGAGTAGAGTTTTCTTGGTTCGGGAATTGGTTCGGGATTCGGTGCAGTAATCGATGAAGGCCTGTGTTTTTCGCGTGTATTTGCGGGCATCGGCGGAAAAAAACCTTTCCTAGCATCCATCAACGTCGGACTATGGTCGATGCACTGCTAAGGTTACAGACTTCGTTCACAAAACGAACTGTTGCTGCTGCTTCGTACTAAGTTTAAGAAACCAAGTAAATCTTCGTCATTGATTGAGATGCCGCGGAGTGTACAGGTGTACATTTTATGATCGAGCTTGAATCGATGCCCGCGTGACTTCAAACGATGCGCCCTGAGCTGGCTGATGACGCAGGGCCACAAAGGGCTCCTCGTGTTATTTTTATCGCATGAGCGCTTGACACATCTAATGGATACGACACGGCGCAGCTCAACCTGGTGCTCAATCAGAACCCGTTCCCAAAACCCCCGATATACGGGCAATTGGAGATCCGTTTGAGTCACTCATGATTGTGTCTGCGACCAACATATAGCAAGGGACAAGTCGTTGCCGATAAGGTTTCGTCGCCACGGAACTGTGTAGTGCCGTCGCCTGATCGCTTTACAAGAGTCGCACACTGGCAACAAACATCGCCACAAGCCCCCCCTACAGATACCCACCCATTTCGTCGTATGCTCGTACGAAAGCCTCATTTGCCCGCAGCGAGGGAATGCGAAATACTTGACCAATTGAATCCCCGGCACCCTAAAATCTTGTGCGACGCTGACGAGCTTCGTCTGTACATTCAGCACATGGCTGCGATGCGGTGTGACCGTGATGCGGTTTGCTAGCCTGCAGTTCCCCCGCTTTTATACCCTTGTTGCTTGAGTCAGTCGCGTCTTGGTTCTCTTACAAAAGCTTCCCGCATCACTTGTGTTTCTAGCACGGGCAACCGCACCTCGTCTTAAAGCACATGGTGTGCACTGTTTTCACTCAAGACAAATGGCAATTATGGAGCTTGACTGCCGCGGCAAACCCCATTTGCCCATCCAACCTCGCCTCCAACCACTTCGCCAGGAGATTGTGCGAAATTGGGCATCAACGTCGGCGGAGTCGCAACAAACCCACGGGCTGGGTTGTGGGATGCGTTACCCTGCTTTATGATTCTGACCAATTTCAAAATTTCGTAATTAGGTGCAAGACATCGCAAGAAAATCAAGGGGGTACCGACTGTTGATAATCGAACAAATGTAGCCCCCCTTCCAACATCCCACCATCCCGCGTATGACAAAGAGGGTAACCCAAGAGCAACGCTTACAGTCCCATATGTCCGTGGCGAGGTCTGCGAAATGAAAATGGCGCTTTCAGTCTCTGCCTCCCAAAAACCTCGAGTGACTGATTCGGGCAACAAGGGTATAGCGCTCACTGGTGAACCGCGTGAAAAAACCCGTCTCTTTAAGCCTGAAATAGGTGTATAAAACAACCCCCTTTACTACTTGTTACAGCGAAGTTTTCGAATAGGCGAGAAGAAGCTGTCGCACACGTTTCGCAAGGATCTCCTCCACTGATAAATTGCCTAGGACACACGATGTCCGCAAAGTGCCTTGCCCAAAATAAATCCCAATCGCCTCTCCCAGCCCAGTAACAGAAGTTTACGGGTAGTATCCGTTTCGAGAGAGTCCCCCCGCGCCGGCTACTGTGCTGAGTCATCATGACAGCGGCGATGAACATGCGGACAGCGATGAAGCAGTTGCAGCCTTCTGGTTTTCGCGACATATTGTCGGGCGGCATCACGAGGGCGGTTCGTCCAGGCACATGGTCTTTCGCGTTTTTCACAAAGCCGCAAAGGACACGAGGGCAATGGAAACCAACAGAACACCGCAAACGGGAAACGCCTCGATGACTCAGCATGGCATGACCCCTAGGCAACTGAACTAGAGCCCTATTCGGTGGATACCGTGGTTACATAGTATGCAATCTGAACTCTGCCACCCAAACCTTCCCCTATTAAGATGAAGAAGTTACCAACGTGCTCACCCTGAATCCCTCGCTTCTAGAAGCGGGCGAAATACCAATTCGACAGAAGCCCGCGCGGCTCGACAAAGTGGCGTTCCTCTCTCGGACTCAGGCTGTAATCGCCCCCCAGCGGCGGAGCAGGACGAGTGGATGACAGAAGGGGCTGGGGCATCATTTTTGCCTCCATCCCGTGTTTCAACAGGCGGAAGACCCAACTCCCGCGTCGTGAGAACTACAACCGTCAAAGGCCGCCGCCGTCAAATTCAGCAGTCCAGACCCATTATGGGACGATGGTGGATGACGTACTCCGAGGTGTACACCGAGCCGAGTCGGATGCCAACAGCCACTCGTTTCGTCGCGCGCGCCAGGTCGGATGCCTCGTCTCCTCCCCTCTCGTGCGCCAGTGATAGGTGCATGCGGCGGCTCGGGCCGCCCTTCTCCATTGCTTGCGACTCGTCTTCAGTCGCCCATCTCCGGAATGAGTCGAGAATTCCGGTTGCATTGCAAGCAACCCCCGCATGGTCTGTGTAGTGTAGCCGCCCGTCGGTCATCGCGCCTCCGCTGCCACCTTCGCCATTGGCGGAAGCTTCCCGGGCCCCTCCCCCCCCCCCTCCGCCCCCCTCCTCCTTCCCCCACCGAATTTTCGCCGTTCCAAAATTTCAACATCTAGGTCGCTGGTCCTCATTCCCATTCTCCATTCCCACTCCGCAGATTTCTCCAACGCCGCTGCTCTCCACGGTACCGACTCTCTGCTTCCGAAGAAGAGTCCGCCTCGGCTCTCCAGCATCTCTTCTTCTGTCTCCTCACTGCCCGGTCGCTCCCCTCCGTCGCCATGGCTCGCGTCGTTCTCGTTGCGCTCCTGGCGTTGATTCTCTTCGCGCAGCTCGGATCCGCCCTCAAGCGACCCGGACGTGCGTCGGATACTACCCCTGGTCATCTGAAGGGCCTCTGCAAACCACTGGCATTTGTTGAATGCTTCCGCGCCGGAATTCCCTTTGCGGAATGATCCGTTTGCCTCCCTTATCATGATGAATCGCAAACTTTTTTTTTCAGTGTCAACAGCTTATGATGAATCTCCTTCTAATGACTGTGACTACTCGCATTGTTTTCTTTGTGGCGTCATGCAGGGCCCCGCTTCAAGAACATTCCTGGTGCTAAGAATATCGTCGTCCCAGCATCTTCACGCATGATCACACTCTACGACAATCTCGACTTTAACTACAACGTGAGTTGCGGCGTGCATTGCGGCGTGCATTGCGGCGTGCATTGCGGCGCGCATTTGCCACCGTGCATTCTGCAGCACAAGGTGCTGTGGTGTCGACTTGGCAAATCTGTAGTCGCTCGCGTGACCGTTTAACGCCTTCTCTCGCTCTCTCTCTCGCTCTCTCTCTCGCTCTCTCTCTCGCTCTCTCTCTCGCTCTCTCTCTCGCTCTCTCTCGCTCTCTCTCGCTCTCTCTCGCTCTCTCTCGCTCGCTCTCTCTCGCTCTCTCTCGCTCTCTCTCGCTCTCTCTCGCTCTCTCTCGCTCTCTCTCGCTCTCTCTCGCTCTCTCTCGCTCTCTCTCGCTCTCTCTCGCTCTCTCTCGCTCTCTCTCGCTCTCTCTCGCTCTCTCTCGCTCTCTCTCGCTCTCTCTCGCTCTCTCTCGCTCTCTCTCGCTCTCTCTCGCTCTCTCTCGCTCTCTCTCGCTCTCTCTCGCTCTCTCTCGCTCTCTCTCGCTCTCTCTCGCTCTCTCTCGCTCTCTCTCGCTCTCTCTCGCTCTCTCTCGCTCTCTCTCGCTCTCTCTCGCTCTCGCGCGCGCGCTCGCTCGTTTCGTTGCTGAGCATATCATGTCACTTAAGGATCTAACGAGCCGTTGTTGCGTTTTCGGGCCCGTGCAGGCTTCAGACTTCACCACTAGACGCGGCATGACGGGTCTCTGGTCAGATAGCGCTCTCACAAATAAGGTACTGTTACTGTTACTGCTAGAACCTTGAGTACAGAGCAGTTCCCTAGCGCACGCCGCGGCAACACACTTGAGCGGCACCCTCAATAAAAGATCCCCCGAATTTGTCAGAGCCTCTGAGATTTTCAGTCCGGGTACCAAATTTTGGGACGCGCCCCAATGTTTCTTTCCTCTGGGCAGGTCGGGCAGATCAACATCGTGGCAGAAAGCATGTTTGACTACAATGACGTCGTCATGTTCACCGCCAGTCTCAATTTCGGCATCGGATATGTCGCCGCCTCAGGTGGGCCTCTGGTTACCACCTTTCACGTTCCCACTCCTCTAGAAATATTCTGGCCATCGTCGCCCGTTACACTGCCGCCTATTTGTGTCCAGCCCTGGCCTTAATCCCGCTGGAGCATGGTCGTCCTTGCGGCCTTCCTCGCCTGACATCCCAAACTCCCTGCTGTTCCATTCACGCCCTTCCTGTTTATGTCGTCCTGCTCCTGTAGCTGCCGACAAGTGGACTGATAATTGGGTGGATCTCGCCGTAACGGGGGCGACGGGCAGCTTTACGAGGTTTAGGTCCGGCACGCTCCGCATCTACAAGCTAACCGGCAGCACCAACGTGCGGGACAGCAAAGGCCACTATCTCGAGCTCTCTTCGCTCGATTAAAAGAGCCTGGTTGCGCAGAGCACTGACGCCTCGCATCGTCTCACGCGTTTTGAAGACGTCTACTGGTGCGGGCTGGAGACCAGCATGTGGGTGGGATGGTTCGTGACTTGCGAATGTGAGCATTTGGTTTTGAGTGGGGTGCATCGAGCGGGTGAGAACAGTGCGTTGTCCTGGGTGTTGCTGTGTGGTGGGCTGTGGTTGAGGAGTAGTTGTCATCAGGGAAATAAAGATACGAGAACTTTGGATATGTGATTATACGGTCAAAAAGCAGATTAGAGCCACGTATATGTAGTGCTCTTGGGTGCTGCTCTTGGTAGTGCTCTTGGGTGCTGCTCTTGAGTGCTGCTCGTGTCACTGAACCGCAGAGCGTGATGGTTTTGAACGCATTAACGGCAGAACAAACAAATGGCAGTGGTATTGAAACAAGTCACTTCGCTTCATCTGCAGGCACCTAGATCAGAGACTTGACACCAGAATTGCTTTTGATGTACCACGCTAGACTCAAGCTCGCGGGTCTAAGAGGCAACGCATACGGAACAATCTGTTCCTTGTGCCCGCGCACCACCACAACCGCTGCATCTCCCCCACCCCCCTCCACCCCCCGTGGCTTCCCCATATAAGCACCGTTCATTAATAAATTCCCGTTAGAAATTATTCTAGATTTAGAGTCGCTCCATGTTGTTACTGTAGCTTGCAGGCCCACCCCGGGGAGGAAGACGTTGGACTGGGAGCGGATGAGTGTGAGGCCGTACCCTCTGCCCTTCCTCCACCCAGCTGCTGCTGTAACCACGGTTGTAGTCCCTGCTACAGCTCTAGCTACGTTTGTAGCAACCCCTGCTGCTGTAGCCACGCTTGTATCACTTACTGCACCAGTAGACACTGCCCCGTAGTCACCTTCAGTATAGTCACTCTTTCTGTAACCATTGATTGTGTAACTGCTGTTAGCTGCTACAATTGCCCCTTCAACCCAGCCAGGAGCAGGGCCCCTCACAGCCAGGCACCCAAACAGCCAACCAGAGAAGAAATTATTCGCTATGTGGCAGATTGCCCCCGCGCACAAAACATCCGGGCTGCCCGGCCCATCGAAAAAGTTCCGGAAAATCGTGATGTGGACGGGGCGGCGGCGGGGGGGCGGGAGGAGAGGCGGGGGGAGGAGGGGCGTGACTGTAACCAGCGCGTCGCCGCCGTTACGGAGGTGACTGTTGGAGATTGTGACATTAGTGCTGAAGCAAGCAAGCACGCAGCACGGGAAGAGCCAAGGGAACAGTGAGGAATTGCAATCGCGTCGCGAAGCGTCCATCCAATGCCTGCTGTGGTGGTTGGAAAACCAACCGTCAGTCATTTTTTCGAGTCGCGCAATTCTTTGAACGAACGTTGAGCCTGCCACAAGTGGCGCCGTGCCAAACGGTAGCGAGAGGTTTTCGTGCCCCAAACCCAAACACCCTCATTCAGCTCCAGCTCCAATGGCCATTTGGTCGTGTGGACCAATCGCATTCAGCTCCACGAAAGGCTCGTGTTTCTGCGCACATGAGGCATACTGTTATGAATGAACAAGCAGAGTAGCGCGGAAATTAATAACAAGATGTTCACTCAATGAATGACGATAGAAGGAATGGCAAGCCAAGATATTGGAACACCAGAGCTAGTCTAACCATGCGATGGTAAGGTTCGGGAAAGAGATCGAAGGGCCGCGAAGTGACGAAGCGAGGCCCGGAGAACTCCCGAAGGTCGAACTAGAAAGTCTGGAGAAGCCGAGGCGATTCTGTCAGAAAGGTCCGGAACAGTCCCGAGGCTTCGGGTGTGTTCGAGCGTACGCGCTAGCAGTACCGCTCGGTAAGGAATGGAAAATTCCTTGCACCCCCCCCCCCCCCCCCCCCCCCCCTTAGCGAAGGTGATCTATATCAGCCACGTGCTTGCGGTCCAAATAATTCGCAAGTATCGAAGGTGACTGTAACTAGTCCGAGGGCACCCACGTGTCGTCCTCACTGGTACGATTGGTCCATCGTATCAGAAAGTCAGCGTGTCGTCCTTGACCGTCGATACGAATCCGATGGCTCAAGATCTTCGAAGGCTCGATGGTCGTCTCGGCTGGTGGCCGTATGTCGGGGACCAATCGCTGTCGGGCGATGTCCGACGTGTCAGGAACGAAGGGTCGCAACAGGCTCACGTGGAACTTGTTGTGAATACGCCAGTCATCAGGTAGGCGCAGTGGAGCGGTCACCGGCGTCACCATTCTCACGATCTTGAACAGGCCACAGAAACGTGGTCGTAATTTCGTCGGTAGTGGCAGTCGTAAATTCTTAGTGTCCAAAAGGACTAGTTGCCCTGCTGCCATGGTAATATCCCGTCGATGTAAATCCGCATACCGTCGGGCAGTTGCGTTCGCCTTGCGAATCAGTTCGACAGCTTTGTCTCAGGCAGTCTGTAATTCTTCGACGAACTGCTGCGATCGTGATACTTGACTCTCAACGTTGGTGGAGATCGGCACTGTAGGGTCCATCCCGTGATTGAGATAAAACGGGGAGTGATTAGTCGTAGATGAGGGCACGTTGTTGTAAGAAAATTCCAACATGGGCAGCACGTCCTCCCATTTTTTCCGGTCGGGGCAGTTTGTCCGAATCAGCTGCTCCATCGTTTGATTTGTCCTTTCCGTCTGGCCGTCCGTTTGGGGATGATACGCGGATGAGAACTGTAGACGCGTGCCGTACCGAGCCCACGTTTCCTGCCAGAATTTTGACGTGAACTTCGGATCTCGATCGCTAATTATTGCTGCTGGTATCCCGTGTAGGCGAACAACGGTCGAGATGAACAGGCGCTCTGTTTCTTCGGCTGTGATGGTTGTACGACATTGTGCGAAATGCGCCATTTTCGTCAATCTGTCGACGACAACCAAAACTGCGTCGTTTCCGCTGGGTCCGGCCGGTAGTCCCGTAACGAAATCCATCGTTACGTGTTGCCATGGGCGTTGAGGTGGCTCGAGGGACTGCAACAGCCCTGTAGGTCACTGGTGTGAGGATTTCATTCGCTGGCAGATCGGACACGTGGCCACGTACCGCTGCAAGTCCGTCACCATATCTGGCCTGTCATAAAACCGCTGCAACGCCTTCAGAGTTTTATCAACCCCGAAATGTCCCGATAAATTCGACTCGTGGACTTCTTGAATTAGTAATTCGCGAAGTAGACGATAACTTGGGACCCAAATTCGATCTGTTCCGCTTCGTAAGTAATAGACGCCTTTCCGTGTAGTGACTGGGAGATGGCCGTCGTTTACGAAGAAGGGGTCAGTCGAATACCCGTGGGTAAATAGTCCACTCAGTAGCGGGTTGCTCTGGGTGACTAGTACTGCTGCGAGTTGGACAGATGGTCTGGAAAGGATGTCGGCAATATTGTTGGCGCCTTTTTTGTACGTGATATTGTACGTGAAATTGGACTACAGATAGTCCAGCCAGCGTATCTGCTGCGGGTTGAGATTCGGCTGCGCCCTCAGGTACTGTAGAGATTTGTAATTAGTGCGCACCATCACGTCTGCTCCAGTCAGATAGCACCTTCAGATTTTGAACGCGTGGACGATCGCCATCATCTCCTTGTCGTGTACCGGGTAGTTGCGCTCAGCAGATTGCATTTTCCGAGACTCGTACGCAATTGGTTGAAGACCATTGCCGAAATCTTGCATGAGCACTACTCCGATGGCGATGTCACTTGCGTCGGTGATGACTTCGAAGGGTCGTTCCGGGTCAGCGATGCGAAGTACCGGTGGCGACATTAAAATATTTTTTAATGTCTCGAACGCAGCTTGCTGCTTCTCCCCCCACTCGTAAAAAGTCCCCTTCTGCAGTAGGTCGGTTAGAGGTCCAGTTAACCCCGCCATGTTGGTTATAAACCGCCACACGTAATTCACGAAACCCAGAAATGATTGCAGCTGCTGTAGATTTGTTGGTGGTTGCCACTCCTGAATAGCCCAGAGTTTTTTCTGGTCTATTCGAATCCCTGCCGTGGAGATCACGTGCCCCAGGAACTCCGGTTCTTGTTTTAAAAACTCGCACTTGGAGCCCTTGGTGATGAGTCGATGCTGCTGCAACCGCTGAAAAACCGCTTCCAAGTCTTTTAAATGCTGCTCCCGGGTCTTGCTGTAGATCAGGATGTCGTCCAGGTAAATTATTACGCATTTGTCGAGTAGATCGCGGAACACCCCATTCATGGTAAGTTGGAACGTCGAGGGGGCGTTCATTAATCCAAACGGCATCACCGTGTATTCGTAACTCTCGTAGCGAGTACGAAACGCGGTCTTGTCGCAGTCGTCAGCGAACACCCGAATTTGATGGTAACCGCCACGAAGGTCAATCTTCGAAAAGTAACGAGCTCCGCGAAGGTTGTCGATCAGTTCGTCCGTTTGTGGGATTGGGTAACGCGATTTTATCGTTACCCGATTAAGGGCACGATAATCCGTACACATGCGAAGTCCGCCGTCCTTTTTTGGCGTGAACAGGATCGGTGCTGCAAACGGTGACGTGCTCGGCTGAATGAACCCTTTCGCCAGCAGGTAGTCCAACTTGTCACAGGATCGAATGTGTCGAGGAAAGGTTGCACTATCGATCAGTACAAGGCGCTTTTATACTTCCAGAGTACATCAGGTAACCAGGTGTATCTTATCCTAAGGGAATAGACCCTTCTAGAAGATAGAATCACCCTGCGTATAGCCACGCGAGGCTATTGGCTTTAAGGGATTACGGCAGGATTACGCTGGATAATGTGCCAGTACATCCCAAGCCTGGTCGGTGATATAATTATAATAGCAGGATCAACCAAAGGATAATGGAAGAATGGAGAATAGGAAACCAAATGAGATGAGATAAAAAGAAGAATGAAATAGGAAGGAGATAAGAATAGGACAAGTGGTGTAACGGGGTCGTACTCTCACACTTCCCCCCCTCAAAGCTGGGTGGTAGAAGTAACACCCTGCTTGACAAGGTAGTCATGCAGAGGACGACGGGCGTTACCCATGTCGGACTCAGGTACCCAGCTGTCCTCAGAAGGATCATAACCCTTCCAACGGATGAGAAGCTCCACGGTGCCATTCCGACGACGACGATGTGCCAGCACGGACTCGACCTCGTACTCGGGTTCGTTCTGGACGAGGACGGGCGGCGGCGGCGGCGCCTGGCGTCCCACGAAGATCGTGTTAGGATCTCGATAGGGCTTCAGAAGTTGGACATGGAAGGCGTTGTGAATCTTCCAGGTAGCTGGCAGGCGTAAGCGGAAGGTAACAGGAGTGACATGTGCTTCAACGAGAAAAGGCCCGCAGAAGCGAGGTCGAAGTTTAGATGGGAGATGGCTGATGTCCAGGTTGCGGGTGTCGAGGAGCACCTGGTCTCCCACGGAAATGGTGTGGTCGT